GAACCGGACGGGCAAATTGTGCAGGTAGACCCTTACGGGCGGGTCGGGAAGGCAGGCCCAGGCGGCAAGGTCGAGCAGGCGGGTTGCTGAAGCGTGCGTCTTGGATGAATCGCGAGGAACGGCGCGATTCCCAAATACATCGCAAGGTGATCCACAGCGGGAGCGTGATTCCTGAGTGTCGAGGGCGCGGCGTCTGAATAAATTGCGATGACGTCCCACACGAGAGCGCGATTCCTGCATACATTGTGAGGGCGTTCCGCGCGAGAGCGCGATTTGGGAATAAAGTATGTAACTCAGGGCCAACGGCCCAGGTTGGCGACCCCTCACTTTCCCTTGTAAGAAGCCGGGTGCGAGCTCTGGGAGAAGCCCTTTGATCCCACCTGCCCTCTAGGCGTAGGTGGTTTAGGGAGTTTCCTCTTCCACCCCCTCCTTGCCCTTCGGGGAGGGGTTTACCTTTACCCATCCCCCCTACCCCCTCCCCTGGACCTGGACGGGTGGGTTCGCGAGCGGTCAGACGGTACTCGTTCGCCCAAGACGGCTCCAAGAGAGCCTCAGAGAGCTCAAGATGACCTCCAAGATGGCTCAAGATAGCGCAAGGTGGCCCAAGATGGCTTCCAAGGTGGTCCAAGAGGCCCCAGGAACGCTCCAAGACAGCTCCAAGAGGCCTCCGAGACTTCCAAGGAGGCCCCCAAAAGGCCAAAATCTTCCAAAAACTTTCCGGACAAGAAATGATTTATGCATTCTCGCCCGTTCGTTTCCGATAGCTTTCCGAGGCCTCAAGATGGCCCCAAGATGGCCCAAGAGGGCCCCACGAGGGGCCCAAGAGAGCCTCAAGACGGCCCCAAAGCTCAAAGAGCGCTCCAAGAACGCCCCAAGAGGCGATGTTAGACGCTCTAGAGGGGCAACCCTAATTGAGGAGCCCCCCTGCGTTGATCGATGCCCTCCAAGATGGCCCCAAGAGGCGCCCAGGGGGGCCTAAAAGGCCCCAAGAGCTCTAAGATGGCCCCAAGAGGCCCCCAGGAGGCCCCCAAGAGGACCACAAGCGGCCCCAAGAGGTCCCCCCGAGGCACCCAAGACGCCCAAGAGTCCCCCAGGACGGCCAAGAGACCCCCAATACGTCCCAAGAGGCGGCTAAGAAGCGACCCAGAGATATCCCAAGAGGCTCCGAGAGGCATCCATCTGGCCCTTTTGTTTGCCCTCCTCCTGCTCCTCGTTCCTCCTTCTCTTCCTCCTCCTCCTTCTCCTCATTATCATCATCATCATCATCATCATCATCATCATCATCATCATCATCATCATCATCATCATCATCATCATCATCATCATCATCATCATCATCAGCATGATCATCATCATCATCATCATCATCATCATCATCAGCATCACCATCACCATCATTAGCATCACCATCATCATCATCATCACCACCACCATCATCATTCATCATCAGCATCATCATCCTCATCCTCATCCTCATCCTCATCCTCATCCTCATCCTCATCCTCATCCTCATCCTCCTCCTCCTCCTCCTCCTCATCATCATCATCATCATCATCATCATCATCATCATCATCCCATTCATCTTTCTTCTCCCCACTCCCTCATCCATCCATCCAGCCCTTCCTTCTCCCCCTCCCTCCTTCGCACGGCTCGGCCGTCCAACTCTTTGCTTACGCACCTCCCTGATCACCTCGACTCGCCTGGACATCGTTTCTGGATGGGCTGGTGGGGGTACGCAATGCGTCTAGAGTTGAAAAAATGCCATGGTTACCGGAGGGGGGAGTCAACATTCAGCAGCAGCATCATCAGCATCATCATCACCATCCTCAACAGCAACAGCAGCAGCAACCACATCTTCGTATTATACGTCCTTCCGACGCTTCTTCCGTCCCTGCTTCCCACCCCATCCTCTCAGACCCCTCCATCCTTCAATTCCTCCTCTTCAACTCACTCATTTCCCTCCGTCTCCTACTCCTCATCATCATCCTGATCATCATGCTCTTTCCCATTGGTCCTTTCTCCTCCTCCCTTTCCTCCTCTCAATCCTCCTCCTCTTCCTCCTTCTCCTCCTCCTCATCCCCCTCTCTACTACTCATGACAGATAGAGGACGGGCCGCTTCCAAAATGTGGCTCTCGCCTTGGCGCCGCTCGCACTCGTCTCAAACACTGCACGGGCTCTACGGAGTGATGGCGGTTTCGATTCAACAAGTAGCTCACGCCGCAGCGCCGAGCTCACTCGTCTTAAACATTTGCAGAAGTTTCACGGGATCCCATCGTTACCGTACCAGAACGGTTCAGGATTGCCAGGGCGCAACAGTTACGTTGATTCACGGTGCTGAAGTCCTAGGAATGACGTTCTGGCACGATTGAGGATCGCCAAGACACAGCAGTCAGGTTGATTCCTGGCGTTGGAGTCCCACGGATGATGTTCTGGCGCGCTTCAAGATCTTCAAACGGTTGTCTCCCAAAGGGACATTTCCCTCAGAGGACATGAACCCTTGTAGGGGCCTTTGAAGAGGGAGCTTGGAGGGAGGGTTCACTCCAATATTGTCGATGAGGCGTGGGTTTACACTGGCCCTACTCTTCCTCCACCTCCTCCTCCTCACCCCTCCCTTCTCCTACTCCGGTTGCATACTCCTCCTCTTCCTCATTCTCCTTGTCCTTATCATCCTCCTCCTCGTCATCAACATCGTCATCATCATCATGATCATCAGCATCGTAATCATCTGCCTCACCACCATCATCAATAACAAGGTCACCATCATCATCATCATCATCATCAGCATCATCAATACTATCATCATCATCACCATCATCACTAGCAGCAGCAGCATCGTCATCCGCATCATCGTCAGCATCATCATCATTACCAACAACAACACCACTATTATCGTAACCAGCATAATCACAATGTACCACCACCAAGGGCATCATCATCAGCATCATCATCAGCATCACCATCAGCACCATAAGCATCAACATCATCAGCATCATCAGCATCATCATCATCGGCATCATCACCGTCATCGTCAGCCTCACCAACGGCAGCACCACCAGCATCATCACCATCATCAGCATCAACATCATCACCCGCAGCAGCCGCAGCATGAGCATCCCCATCATCAGCAGCACCATAATGATCATCATCAGCAACATCATCACCACCATCGTCATCATCACCATCATCATCATCATCCTCACCACCGTCGTCATCATGATCATCAGCATCAGCAGCAGCATCAAAAGCATCAGCATCATCATCCTCATCAGCATCGTCGTCAGCAGTATCATCATCAGCATCATCATCAGCATCATCATCATCACTGGCGTCATCAGCATCATCATTATCATCATCAACTGAATCACCATCATCATCATCATCATCCTCATCATCATCATCGACAGCAGTATCATCATCTGCATCATCAGCGACAGCATCAACATCAGCAGCATCTTCATCATCGTCATCGTCAGCATCAGCATCATCATCATCCTCATCATCATCATTATCATCATCCTCATCATCATCATCATCAACATCCGCATCATCAGCATCATCAGCATTATCACCACCAGCCACAGCAGAAGCATCGTATTACTTTCTGTCCGTGAGTTCTTGCTCCTCCTCTACGTTCACTCGGTCCCCTCCTCCCACTCCTCGTCATCTCCACATTCTCCTCCTCTTCATCATCATTCCCCCCTCCTCCTGCTCCTCCTCCTCCTCCTCCTCCTCATCTCCCTACTCCTCCTTCGCCCCATCCCTTCTCTTCCTCTTCTTCCTCGCCTCATCCTCACCCTCCTACTCATCCTCAGCATCCTACTCATCCGCCTAGGCAACATCATCGTAATCATCATTACCACCGTCGTCCGCATCATCATCGTCACCACCATCACCACAGTCATCATCTTCTCCATCATCCGATTCACCATCAGCATCACCATCATCAACAGCATCACCACCATAACCGTCACCATCACCATCATCATCATCATCAACATCATAATCAGCCTCATGATCATCGTCATTATGACCATCATAATCATAAGTATCATCATCACCATCATCATCATCAGCAGCATCATCTCTGTCAGCATCGTCATCAGCAGCAGCATCGTATTAATATCGCTGGGGCCTTCCTTCCTTCCTTCTCCCCTTCCTCCTCTCCATCCTTCCATTCCTACCCTTCTACTCATGCCCCTCTCCCCCATCGTGCTCTTCTCGTCCCTTCCTCCTCTCCATCCTCATCCTCCTCGTCCTCCTCCGTCTTCGCCTCCTCCTCCTCCTCCTCCTCCTCCTCCTCCTCCTCATCATCATCATCATCATCATCATCATCATCATCATCATCATCATCATCATCATCATCATCATCATCATCATCATCATCATCATCATCATCATCATCATCATCATCATCATCATCATCATCATCATCATCATCATCATCATCATCATCATCATCATCATCATCATCATCATCATCATCATCATCATCATCATCATCTTCCTCCGCCTCCTCCTCCTTCCCGTCCCTCCTCCTCTTCTTTTTCCTCCTCCTCCTCCTCCGCCTCCTCCTCCTCCTCCTCTTGCTCTTCCTCCTCGTCATAACCGTCATCATCGAAATCAGCAGCAGCTGTACCTTATTGTCATCTTCCTTCCTTCCTTCCTTCCTTTCTTCCTTCTCCTCCCCTTCCTCCCCTCCATCCTTCCATTGCCCCACTTCCACTCATTCCCCTTCTCATCGTCCCCCTCCACCATCTCGTCCTCCTCCTCCTCCTCCTCCTCCTCCACAATATCCTCCACGATCTTCTCCTCCTACTCCTCCTCCTCCTCCTCCTCCTCCCCTCCTCCTCCTCCTCCTCCTCGTCATCATCATCAGCATCATCATCATCATCAGCAGCAGCTCCTCCTCCTCCTCCTCCTCCTCCTCCTCTGCCTCGATCTTCCTCCTGTCCCCCCAAAACCGACCTGCCACGGCACGCCCTCCCCCCTACCCTGTGGCCTCCGCGCGGAGGTGTCGGACAGCCTCCTCCCTCAGCATCAGGCTGCGGCTTCTCGTCGCGTCGGTCTGCGCGCGGCGGGAAGGGGGGGAACGCCACGCAGAGGAGGGGACAGGCTCAGGCTTCGAGGTCCGAGGTTTGAGGTTTGCAGGCAGCTCGGCGCCGGCGCCGGCGCCGGCGCTGGCGCCGGCGCCAGCGGCGGCGGCGGCGGCGGCAGCGGCGGCGGCAGCGACGACAACGACGAAGACGACCGACGACGACGACGACGTCGTGGTGGGCGGGGCCCTCTTGGAGGGTCTCCACGGTCCGCGGCACCGGCCAGGACCCTCCACGACGGCCCCGCCCCCCCCCGAAGAGGCCCGACCGCCTCCAGCGCGGTCTCTTCCGCCATGATGGCGTCCGCGGCCGCCTGGGTTGGCGGGCCTCGCCGGCGCGGCGCGCGGGGTAGACTCGGGGAGGACGACGCTCGAGGAGGTTCGAGGAGGAGAAGGAGGAAGCTCGAGGAAGAGGAAGAGGAGGAGACGAAGAAGGCTCAAGGAGAAGGAGAAAGGGGAAAGGAGGAGGAGGAGGAGGAGGCACGACGCGTGCGCAGGAGACGCGCGCGCGCGAACAGCATGGGAACCGCGCCCGTCCCGTGCGCACTGGGAGCACGGCGTGGAGGCCGTGGCCTCGGCAGTGGGCACAAGCAGATCTCCAGGGCCCTGGCCCGCCTGCCTCGCGGAGGGGTCGGGCTCGCTTGCCTCGTGGAAAACCCGGGACGACTCGCATCCACCAACTCCCCCACTCGTTTTCCTTAAAGATACCTCCTCCCCGTCGCACCACGAGGCTGGTCGAAAGGGCGGGTTGGGCGTTTAGCCTGAGACTGCATCACCACCTATGACCATGATGCTTTAAAACTGACAACATATTCACAAATGGAGGGCGGGCCGTTTTAAAAATGTGGTTCTCGCCTGAGCACCTCGCACATTGTTCTTTAATGCGCGATTTGCACAACTTGATGCAGGTGGTTTTCAAACAGTGGTTCTCGCCTTAGCGCCGCGCGCCAGTCGTTGCAAAAAAATGCAAGAGCTTCACGGATGGAGGGCGGGTCGTTTTCAAAATGTGGTACTCGCCTTAGCGCCACGCACAGTGGTTCAAGAAAATTGCAAGAGGTACACGAACTGGTGGCTGGTGTTTTTTTCAAATATGGTTCCAGCTTACGCGCCGCGCACACTCGTTTCAAACATTTGCAAGAGTTTCACATATTGAAGGCAACACCTTTTCCAATACGAGATTTTCGCTTTCGCGCCGCGAACATTCGCTCATTTGCAAGAGCTGTTCGGAATGAGGGCGGTTGGTTTTCAAAATCAGGCTCTCGCCTCTGCGGCACGCACGTTCGTGTCGAACAAAATCCCAGGGGATTCACGGATTGACGGCAGCTCCTTTCCAACATGTGGTTTTCGCCCTCGCGCCGCGCACACTCGGCCTAACAAACTGCACGAGTTTCTCGGATTGAGGGCGGCTGGTTTTCAACATGTGGTTTTTGCTTCATCGCCGCGTACTCTCATTTTGATAATTTGCGAAAGCTTCACGGATCGAGGGCGGCTCCTTTTCAAAATGTGGTTTTCGCAAGAACGCCGCGCACCTTCCTTCTAATCACGTGCAAGAGTTTCACTGAGTATCACGGCTTACGTAGCTGGCTGTCTTTAGGGCGGGCTCTTGGAGCTCAACTGACTCACTCGTTTTTTTCTCTCAGCGTCGTCATCATCATCATCATCATCTCCGTCATCATCCTCACCACCATCATCATCATCAGCATCAGCATCATCATCACCATCACCATCACCATCACCATCATCATGATCCTCATCATCGCCCTGACTGATCATGATGATGGAGATGATGATGATGATGGTGGTGATGATCCTCATGATGACGACCCCCATGATGACGATCATGGGGGTGATGATGGCGATGATGATGATGGCGATCCTTATGATGATGGTGCTGATGATGAGAGAGTCGAGGAGGCAGAAGCAGACGGGGGGGGACGGTCAAGAGTATCTCTCTCGCCGCCCGCGGTGGCTAGTCGGACGCGGCACTGCGGGGCGTCGGGGCGGCTGTCCTGCGGCCACTTATGGGCGTTGACGCGATGTCCTGCGGCGCGCTGGTCAGCCTCACTTCGTCGAGCACATCCGCGAGGCCAGGGAGCGCCGCGGGGACATTGGCCAAGTGCTCGGCCACAACGTGGTTCGCGACGCTGAAGAACTCGACAGGGCCAGGCGCGGCGTCGATCCTCTGCGCTCTGATCCCCCGAAACACGTCGGAGCGGATCATCGCGGCGATCAGCAGGTCGCGCTTTCCTTCGGGCTGCTGCTTGAGGTACTCGTTGGAGAATGTGTGAACGCAGCGCTCGTGGCGGTGCACAGTGCGACGCAGGGCGGCGAGGGTTCCCGCGTAGAAGGACCCGGGCTTTTGCTCGAGGTTGAATTGTTGCTTGTCTTCATTCTCCACTTGCGCGGTGCGTGTCCCCCACTGGGCGACGGCCGCGCGCAGCAGCGAGCAGCCAGGTTCCATGAGCTGGATCGACGCGTACGCCAAAGGGTCGTCGGCGAAGTCCTCTTCCACGATGGGCTTCCCGCTCAGCTTGACGAGGTCTTCTGGCACGCGGTCGAGGGCGACTGCCAGGCGCATTTGGTCTCCCAGCTGTTGCAGCCAAGGGCGCCACTTTTTCTTCAGCGCTCGCACGAAAGCGGCGAAGCGCTCGGACGGGATCATCTGCAACTTCTTGTCCCTGTTCAGGCTGCGGCACTTCGGGGGGTTCTTCTCGTCCACGATGCCTGGGATCTCGGTTGTTCAACCCTTTTTCGCCTCATCGCCTCGAACGCATCTGGAGTGGGTTGCCCCCGAGCCCACGCGCTCCTTGCCCAGGCCGTCCCAGCAAGGGTCGTTTTGCAAAAAGTGCAGCAAGTCTGGGTCGAGGTCTGTCTCCGCTATCGTTCCGGCGCCGTTCTTGCCCCGCTCCATGTTCACGGTGATCTGCAGCTTGCCGGGCGGCTGCGTGAAGCCGGACAGCCTTGCCTGTCTGAGGGTCAGTATGTGGCCTGGCTGCCACTTCAAACAGCCCTTGATGATGGACATGAGGCCTGCGGGGCAGCCGTGGAAGCCTGCCGATGCACGGAAGCCTTCGTAGCGTTTCGGGTCGCTCTTCTCTTTCGCTGTTTCAGCCGCTATCCAGGCCGCGCCCTTCTGACCGAACCATCTCTCAAAGAGATGGGAGGAATCCAGAAACGAGGCTGCGGTCTCGACGCCAGGCGCATCGCTGCTGAGTGGGGCCCCCTTCGATGCCGAGTGGAAGTCCCCCGCTGCCTCCTGGCCAGGCAGCCCCACGCCCTTCCTGATGGCATCGATGAAGTCTTTACCAGTGACCTCCTTTCGCCGCTCACGCGGGCCTTCTTCAGCTGACGCGCAGATCAACGGCCAGCGCGAGTACAACTCCTCGGCCGCGCACCCGAGGGACCACATGTCCAAGTCTTCCTGGAAGCGCAGGTTCCCCAAGAAGACACCTGGCGGCCTGTGCTGGGGCGTGGTTGCACCGACGTCGGCGTTGCTGTCGCTGGGGCGCAGCTTCTTCACCAACCTGCGGCGGGGGTCCGTCGGACGGAGGAGAGGGGAGCGACGGCGACCTCCAGGGGGAAGGGGAGAGAGTTGCGACAGGACGACCGCCTCATGGGGGAAGGGTAGACACCGCCCTGACTAGAACTGAGATGTGAGTTCTAACATGCTATGATAGAGCTCAAGTTCTGATCAAACATGCTCCGTATATCTATGTTAGATCACACATGTGATATTACATGCTAAGTGAGATCACAGTTTGTGATATAACATGCCATGTTATATCACATATGCGATCTAACATGCCATGTTAGAGCACACTGTGTGATCTAACATGCGATGTTAGATCACAAATGCGATCTAACATGTCATGTTAAATCACACCTTGTGATCGTACATGCTTTGTTAGATCGCAAATGTGATCTAGCATGCCACGCTAGATCACACTTTGTGGTCTAACATGCTCTGTTAGATCACACATGTGATCTAACATGCCATATTAGATTACAATTTGTGATCTAACATGCTATGATTTATCACAAACGTGATCTAACTTGCCATGCTAGATCACAATTTGTGATCTAGCATGCGATGTGGGGTCGCACATGTGATCTGACATTCTATGTTAAATCACAAGTTGTGATCTAACGTGCTATGTTAGAGCTGAATTCCTGCTCTAACATGCTATGTAAGAGCTCAAATTGCGCTCTAGCGTGTTTTGTGATCGATCCGAGCACCTCGAGGCACCTCGGGATCTGGTACTGGGACTCCAGCCTGCTCTGGATGGCAGGATTGACGGGGCCCGATTCGCCGATCTGCCGATGTGTCAGCGCCTCTGTCTCGAAGCAGCCGCGCATACACATCGATCCTCGCATCAGGATGTCGGCGGGCTTGAGGTCGCAATGGGCACAGCCTTTGTCGTGGAGGAAGCCAAGCCCAGCGATCACGCTGTTCAGGACGTGGCGGATTCCGGTCTGCGTCAAGGTGGACTTCTGAACGAACTGGCGCACGTCAATCTCGTGCAGGTTGAACACGAGGCCGATGTGCGCTTCCCATGTCCACCTCCTCTGCGCTGCTCCAGTGCTAGCGGCAGCTGACAACTGTTGCAGCTCTCTCGTTGGAGGGCTAGGCTTAAACAACTGCTGGGAAAAAAAAGCCCACGTCGAGTAACCGAACGACGTTCGGGTGCCAGCCCAGCGCAACGTGGCGCCAGACCTCCTCTTCAGCCGCACCCGTGGCATCCGAATTGAACCCCTGCGCCTGATCTTCCTTCGAGTCGCGCAGGAGCTTTATGGCAAAGAGCTCCACGACGTCATCGCCTAACCCTGGGCAGGTGTTCGTGCCCAGATAGACCTTGCCATAAGTGCCCTGGCCGAGCTCCGCCTCCCAGTCCACCTCGAACGAACATCGCGGGTCCTCGTGCTTGCGCGGATCCTTGGCGTTGTACACACTTGCGATCGCTTCGAGCCTCAGCGAAAGCAGAGGGGCCTGCGAGCTGCGACAGTCGCCTGCACCAGGAGAGCCTTTCGCTCCCGAGCTAGACGCCCCTGGCGCGGGAGCTGCCGATGGCGCAGAAAGACCTGCGCGTTCGCTGGCTCGGCAAAGCTCGCTGGCTGGCGCCTCCTCAGTCCCCAGCGCTTCCCCCAACGCCGCTTCACGGGGTTCCCCCTCGGCTGCTCCCCCGGCTGTTGCAGCTCGTGCCTGGGCCCCCGCCGCCCCCGCGGGGTCGGTCACGAAATCCCTCCAGTTGGCGCCCGGCGCCCTCTTTAAGATCCGCGCGGCGTTGTCGAGAACACATGGCGCGGGCCACGAAATCTGCACTTTGGTCT